GCTTACAAGTAATGAAGAAATATCTAAAATTGAGAAAACATACCTTTAAAAACATCTGCAAGTTTCTCTAGTCCCTGACGGACAGGCCATTGCTCGACAAACGCCTCGTCTTTCCCGATGAACTCATCCATGGCACTTTCCAAAACACGTGTGTCGAATGCCAGGGGGTCGCCCCGGGGTACGCAAATGCCCAGCCCCCGGGCCGCGATATAATTGCGGATGCCCCACCCCCGGGACTGACAACGTGAGCAAATGCCCCGCGGTTGTCCGGGGGGGTGGGGGATGGGCACTGCTGGAATTGACTGATGCATTGAGCTTAGCTGAGTATATTTCCCTTTTACCGTTCTTTTGTTGCGTCACACCACCTCGTCACAAGTCATGCATCGTAACGCATTGGCGTTGAACTTAGCTGGTAAAAAATCGTTTTCACGTGACGTCATCAAATTTCAAAATCCAAAACTAAAGAGCCACGAAAGTTTTAATCCTCATTAGGCATAAGGGAATCTAAATTTATCTCTGTTTACAACTTTTCGTGCTGGGTTTGGAAACTAGCGCGGTGAGTAGCGGTGGCGGTGGCGGTGGGTGACATAGAGCTACGATCGCGTTTGTCCAGAAATATACACTTGAGTGAGTTTTAGCCGTTTTAGGAGTTAAAGTAGTAAGAAAATTGCTTGTGTTAATGTTTGTTGGTTCAGTTCAGATAATCAGTCATCTAGATAGCCAAAGTATGTTCCATATGTTTACACTATTTTCCTGTCACCACATTGGTGGACCACGGAGGTACACCAACATGGCGGCTCTATACTGGGCTCTGTGAATTGGCGCAAAACATTTAGACGAATATCTGAAGTTTGGGAAAACGTAGAGACCTAAAACTCGGAAAAGTGTCTTCTTTACTTATCTCCCATAACATTCCAATTTCTTGACTTAATCACTGAATAGTTTTCGATTTATTTTTTCTTTGCGTGACAGTGAAAACGATCTGTTGTTGACCTGTATTGCGTGCTCATGGATCTCGACTCCGTCTAGCGCGGTTAACAAACACGCAGAAAAAGAACTTGACCATAGTATCAAGCCATCTTGATCTCATTCTTGGCCAATAGCCCATGTTTTTGCCTTATCACAAATGCAGTTTGTTTTGGAAGCGTTATAACTTCAGCCATTGTTATTTGCCTTTAACAGGGTCAAGCAATGTACCAACATTAATCACAACGACTTGGTAACCACCCATCATGAGCTGGGCCATATTCAGTATTACTTGCAGTACTGGGATCTACCTTTCGAGTACCGCACTGGCGCCAACCCAGGATTCCATGAGGCCGTTGGTGACACCATGTCACTGTCGGTTGATACACCACAACACTTGAAGAAAATTGGTCTGTTGGACGCTTACAGCAATGACTCGAGTAAGGAAATACAGTACAAAATAAATGATCTGTTTCAGGCTCTCAGAAGTACAGAGCGCTGCAGACACTTAAGTGTATGGGAAGGATGGAGGGGGAAAACGGGGCTGACACAAGGTCGCCCCCTCCTTCTCCCCTCTCCCCTCTCCCCTCTCCCCTCTCCCCGCCCCCTTCCTCCCTCCCCCTTCTTCCTTCGAACCGCAATGTTTTTTACATTCTTAATCGCTGTTTTTTGTCCTCAGAATCAGACATAAACGCCCTAATGAAGATGGCGCTGCGTAAAATCGCTTTTCTACCGTTCGGGTATATGATCGATCAATGGCGATGGAAGGTGTTCAGTGGGGCCATCACTGACGCGAACTACAATGCCGAGTGGT